AACATTATAACTGCCATTGAATAGAATTGCTGAAAATAAACATTGTTGTTAGAGTGGACTTTTTTAAATAGGGTATTTAATCTAGATAACATAATTCTGAGGGCTAACATCAGAGAAACAATTAGAAAACAGTGATTATCAGAGACAAGTCAGCGTGTCTTGTCCTTCCAAAACTCAAACTGGTGACCCTTAATCATGGGGATTTGAACCTGTGTTACTACCTTTTTGTAGATGGCAAAGATGGTCCCAATGGAGACGAGACAGTCGATGTTGGAAGAGCCATCCAAAGGATCAAAGCAAACAACGTATTTGCCCTGAAGAGAAAGAGGAGATATTTTGTCAACAAAAAGCATTGTTCTCGCGGGTCAAATCTTGAGGTCAAACAAATAAATGCATTTCCTTATCATGTCGCTAAGCAAGTTTGAAAAGAAAGTTTTACATCCTGAATTATTTACATTCTTATTTTCTAGTCTTCATTTTGCATGTATTTTGTTGGAGCATTGCTGCATTTCTTGGCACATAGCTGCAAATAATTGTTTAGTGTGACACATTGACAATGATGCGTATGTGTTTCCTTGTGGGCGTGCTTGAGACGAACACAAAAAAAAAAATGTCACCATGCCCTCCCACACTTTAGAATTGCAATAGATGTAAAAGGAGGAAGTACTTAAATATAATACTTTTTAAGAATCTGGAATCCAAGCTTTTTTAACCAAACCAGTTATATGAGATAAGATCCCAAAAAGAAAAGATTGGAAAAACCCAGACAAAACTGGATGATCTTGTTTTTGTCTGCCGACAAGTCATTCCAGATGTTTTCCCCCGAAGACCAAAGAGTCCAGCATCTAAAGTCTCCACTGGACCGACTTACCCTGGTTTCTGGCTCTATAATAATGGCCTTCTCGTTCTCCTCAGACACCAGCACACAGGAGGTGAAGGAAGACGTGATCATGTTGATGACCAGATCATTGGAAAGAATGTCCAGCTTCTTCACCTGGTCACCAGTCACATTGGTGCTGCCAGCAATACCATAACTGAGGACACATAGAAGATACAAAAAAGGGAGAAAAGGGAGAGTGATAAAAAAAAAAAAACCAAGTCATTTTTCCATACACGGATCAAACGTTTATTAACATGCTCTCACAAATTACTTTAGACATTCAGCTTGTGAAGTTTTTCTATGTTGCCTTCTTCTGTATCTTAACTGACAAAACGTTATTTAAACCTCTATTACTGTATGCTTTGTGCTAGAGTAGGTTTTATTGGGATGATGTCATGATAATCTCCAGTTAAGAAAATACAAAACTGCAAGTGATGCATGACTGCTTTTTCAAAGAGCAACTGCATTGAACACGGAAGTCAAGTCTGAATCAGAATCAGTTACTAAAGTCAGCATGATAAAGATGTATGTTCATGGTGACAAGGCAACAAAAGCACAATTATATTTAAAAAAGCAGCATTTATGTAAAAAGTTCATGAATATGTTTTTTGTAATAGATATTTAACCAGAAATACTGGTAGATGCAGATAGCATCAGTAGACAGAGTTAAAGTGGACCAACACAGCACAAAGTCACGATAACAAAGTCACAAGCACAATTACAAACAATTACAAACACATTAGTTTATCACAACAACAAAAAGACAACACAAGGAAATAAAGTGGTTGAGCGCAGCAACACATTAATTCATCTTATAGACCGAGGCAACAAGGCTGAATAAAATAACCAACTTGTAAATATTTGTTTTGTTTTATAAAATAAAAAAGTATACAATGCGCTTCCTGATTGGTTCTTAAGGAACCAGAGTTTCCTGTTCAGTATTTGCCAGCGTGGAGCATGCATGCGGATGAGAGAACTTTTTTACTTTATAAACAAACGTGGCATCTTCTCAGAGAATAGTGTTTACTCACAGGTGTGCGATCCCAGCTTTACGCACGGCGCTGGAGATGGCCTTCACCGCCGTGCACAGCGAGTTGAGCAGCGTTGTCAGCTCCCCGGTGCCTTTAGCCTTCCTGCCCTCCTCCATAACGAACCGGGTCATGGTCACTACGTTGGTGTCGAAGGCTCCTTGGTCGGTCATGGTGACAGATGCTCTCCTGCAGCAAGAGAGAGTAGAAGTGGCAGGAAATGCTGCAGGACTTAAATGCTCTGCAACGCGGAACTGCTGGAGGGGGGAAAACACCACGAGCCAATCCAGAGCCGCACGAGAGGTGTGGTTCTATCTGGAAACACTACTCGCTTTGTACACACTGTGATAGTGTTTCCAATAGTGGGATGTGACTAGAAATATTGAACACGCCTGAAACTGTCTTTGCGCAAGAGAGTTCGTGTACTTTCTGCAGAGTTGAGTAAAGTTAGAACGATATTGGCAGATTCGGATTTCACGGATCAATAACTCATGAACAAAACGTTATTCAGACACAAATTACGTCTCCTATGTACCGTGGTAAGGTTGACAACGAACTACAATCACATGTTGATTTAAAAAAAAAAAAAGACAATATGCGCCGTCCTCCGAGCTGGACACATTACATTGGTCTCTTTCAGCAGCCGGAGAAGAAACAAGTGCTCAGGGACCGTCTGCGAAGTGCAACTCCAAAAAAAGAAAATACAATAATCTTCAATAACGTCACTATTATACAGTATATTTCTACCAAACTCACTACACACATCAATAGTCTCCTGTTGGTCAGACTACAGCAGAGAGTTTGGAAGAATGTGCTTTTGAATAATTTTGGTGAATATTTATAGTGTGAAATCTTCAATAAATATGGTATAATCTTCAATAACGTCACACAGTGGAGTGCTACCAAACTCACTACACACATAAATAGTCTCCTGGTGGTCACAGCAGAGAGTTTGGAAGAATGTGGTTTGGAATAATTTTGGGGAATATTTATAGTGTAAAATCTTCAATAAATATGGTATAATCTTCAATATCTTCACTATTATACAGTGGAGTGCTACCAAACTCACTACACACATAAATAGTCTCCTGTTGGTCATACTACAGCAGAGAGTTTGGAAGAATATGGTTTGGAATACTTTTGGTGAATATTTATAGTGTAAAATCTTAAATAAATATGGTATAATCTTCAATATCTTCACTATTATACAGTATATTTCTGCAGGTATAGTGTTCATGAATGGTGTCATAGTGATGACTTCTGTAGATTCACATTATAATGGCTTTTGACCAACTGGCAGCTTGCATATTTATTTGTCCCAGACAAGATGTGTTCCTAATTCACCCATTTTATCCATCTTTCTGTCTGTCTGCCTGCCTGCCTGCCTGCCTGTCTGTCTGTCTGTCTGTCTGTCTGTCTGTCTGTCTGTCTGTCTGTCTGTCTGTCTGTCTGTCTGTCTGTCTGTCTGTCTGTCTGTCTGTCTGCCTGTCTGTCTGTCTGTCTGTCTGTCTGTCTGTCTGTCTGTCTGTCTGTCTGTCTGTCTGTCTGTCTGTCTGTCTGTCTGTCTGTCTGTCTGTCTGTCTTCTGTCTGTCTGTCTCTGTCTGTCTGTCTGTCTGTCTGTCTGTCTGTCTGTCTGTCTGTCTGTCTGTCTGTCTGTCTGCCTGCCTGTCTGTCTGTCTGTCTGTCTGTCTGTCTGTCTGTCTGTCTGTCTGTCTGTCTGTCTGTCTGTCTGTCTGTCTGTCTGTCTGTCTGTCTGTCTGTCTGTCTGAATGACAAATTAAAACATGTTCTCAGTTCTTTATAACATAAAAAGGAAAACTTAATAAAAAAATAGACATTGTGTTTGTAACACTCTGTTTTTGGGGTGAATATTTTGGTATGGTTTACATGTTAAACTCAAACAAAGTGCAAAATAAATCGGTTTAAGGAGATATACAACATATAATTGTTGATGTATTAGGACAAGGTAATAAGTTATATTTACAATTATTTTACAATTTAACATTTTAGCTATACTGTATATTTTAAATATGAAGGTGATTGTTGATGCAAATGTACCATACTATACGATAGGTGGGACCATATCAGTGTATAAGCTACTTCTTGCTACCCTTATTTGATATGTTTTATTTATTGTGTTTATTGAAACGTTGCTGCATATGTTTACCATTCATTTTATTGTTTATTTTGGTTCGAAATAAAATGTATGTATATATCTCTCTTGGATTATTTGATAACTAACTAAGTTGTTTACATCCTATAACTGTACTGTAACTGTACATCTGGTATTTTAATTTGAAAGGGTGTGGAGCTGCTGTTCAAACAAACGCCACTAGATGGCAACCTTGGCCAGTTAACCAGGGACGCTGACTCGGCTCTGTCCCAATTAAACTGCGGGTGTGTTTTGGTAGCCTGGAATAAGCATTACCCTTTTTAATAATCACAATATAGCTTTACCTTTATATTATATCTAATAAGAATACATACAAAAAAAGCAGAGCATTCTCAGTTACAAGTTCCATCCACACAAAAAACTGCACTTCTGGGACAATTCAGAAAAACTCATATTAATGCGCCAAACGGAATTTAATTTAAGACTTGTAGACGTTGCAAGAATATATTGTTACACGGAAGATAAACTGGTGTGTTAGCTGTCACTACCTAAAAGTCAGAAATATTTACTAGCAGAACATCTATAACATCAAGTAACAATTAATATTATCAGCTCGTTGAATCTCTCGACGTCTGGCTGAATGGTTTGTTGAAGTGAAAATTAACCAGAAGTGGTAGCCTAAATAGTTCTTATTAGTTAATTAACAAACGTTTATGGGAGCTCGTTTGGTAGTAAAACTTTTTAAAATTGTTTGCAGGAAGGCTACAAATAAATATTCTGGTAGTTTAGTTTGCAGTAGGTCGAACAGTAAAAAGTAGTCCCATCTTGCAGCAGGTAAGCAAGCTACACCTGTAGCCCCAGCACTCACGCACTCACTCACTCACGCACTCACTCACTCACTCACTCACTCACTCACTCACTCACTCATAGGACTCCGCTTGTCGGGTGGTACCGACTGCGCATGCCCGTTGCTGAACAACTCGCTGCTGTGGCGGATAAGTACAAAGAGGCTGCTGGTGGTGGTGCGGACGGGACGTGCTGTGTGCCACGGGGCTGAAGTATAACCTTGCAGAAGTTTTGACGTTACGTTAATACCTCAACCGGACGTTTTCTCCTTCAATAATTTAACTCCAAGGACAACCAGAGAACAGGAGTTGCATTCGGGTCTAAAAACAGCGTGTGGAGACACTGGGTAAGTTAAACGTGTTGAAGTCGGAACGCTTCTGAAATGACAATGTCATCGCTCTTAAAGTAGTCACACTTTTGATGCTGTTTTTACTCGACTAAAACCACGCACGTGCATGTTTTCTTTGTGTGGGATAATGTAATGTGTCCTCGATGCGTATCTGCGTCAGGTGGTCCTGCAGAGACCAGACGAGACAATCATATGAAGCGCTTCTGGTTAAGCAGGATTATATTTAAAGTCATATGGTGTTTGTTGTTCGTGCTCCTTGTGGTTATCTGGTGTTTGTTTTACCCCGACCAAACAAAGCTAGTTCCCGCCAGACAGTCACAGGTGTCATGGAAGTGCTGGAAGAATCCCACATGCTGAACTTTGAGCTGGGGAATGTATTGTGGAAAAGTCTGTTTATTCATTGAAGAATTATTTTGTAGTGTCAACCCCCCTTGCTTTTTTTAAATGAAGGATTTTGCTTTTCAAACATTCACCATTCTCCTTCATTTAAGTAATCCCCTACCATTATATGACCCATGCTGACTCATTTTTGCCATGCATTTAACAGCTTAAATAGGGTTTAAGGATTTGCAGGTCCCAAACACCCTCATATCAGGCTCTAAAAGAACAATTCCCATAACTCTTTTTCTTTGTGGCTTTATGGGCCATCATCAACTTGGTGCCTACAGTTGTGTTGGTCAAATCCAGTCTCCAAACCGAGGAAAATGTCTTCTGATTTGGCATGCCACTACCTATTCTTTTACTTCCAGAGGTTGAAGCAGGCAGATGAAAGCACCGCTAAAGCATTATATGAATAGAATAGTAGGGATATAGACCTGGATGGTGGTCCCTATTGTGCTGTTGGAGAGCTGGGGTCACATAGGGCTCTTCATCTTCTGGGCTTTTCTCTACAGATAAAGCACTGCATTGATATGTCAAGGGGAAGAATATGAGCTCTGTGACATTGGTTTAATGAAATTCTTCAGCTTCCAGTGTGGCAGTTTGGGCAAATCCCTGAATCCATTTGTCTACACTTGGGTATAATAAAAATACAGAAGATGATGAACAGTGCTTTCATCAAAGGAGACCAGACAAAGCATCCCTTCAGACATAAAAGTACCAACCTGCTGTGTCTTTGGTAAACCTGGTCATCTTGGTTGTTTTGTAAGAAAGAAACTTGAATATTCACTATAATTTGATGCTATTATAGAAAATCCGGCTGCTCTTTCTTGCATAACAGTCTTAAATGTATCGCTAAGGTTTCATTTATTTAAAAATTGACATTGCAATGCTGCCCTCCTGATAAAGAAATGATTAGTAAATGTAAGTTGAATATACTTATTTTGACTACCTTTTTTATATGTTATACATCTCATAAAGTGTTTGAAGCTTGTCCACTGATTTTAGCCATGTAAGGTCATATGGCAACTCATTCTTTGCACAATATTGCACTGTAAACATGTAAAAACTGATTAAAGAGCCAAACTACATCCTCCAAAAGTCACCATACCAGAAAGAAGGTATTCTATCTTCGTGAAGAAAGGATTTTGGTAGGGCTGTGGCCTTTGACTGCATTCTAGTCGTCCTCTGCAGTAGAGCTAACAAGTTTGTTTTGGGCACTGCGACCTGCAGGCGTGTTTTGTGATGCCCCCTTGCTTCCCCATATGCACAACATTATGTGTATTATCCATCGGCCTGCTCAAACTGGAGACTCAACATCTTGAAACGTGATGTTGCAGTTTTGTAATAATTAGTCTGACATTTTTTTTATTTAGACATGAATGCATCACATTGATTTAGTGTGTGGGCAGCATCTCACGTGCACCTTGCTTATGTCCCTGTTGTTTCTGAGCTTGTTCGTACTGTAACAAGCTTAGTGTTAAAATGTGTGCATTGTGCCGTGTTCCCACCCAGAGCATTCCACAGCCTCCCACTGGCTTCCCGTTTATGCATAAGCAGCTCGGGTGGAAGCACAGCCTGGCGTCGGTTGGTACATCGGGCTTAGCGCCGCTCTGAGTCCACATCATCAGGGTTGGCCAGTCAGCTGTAGTGGACATATGGCTGGTCTCTCAATTAACACCTTAGTGAGACGACCCTTCTGTCCACATGATCAAAGCCGGGCCTCCTCTGCTCAGATGTGTCCCCTCGCCCCCACCCAGCCTCCCAACTCCCTGTGATTATGACTCCCATCCCTCCACTGTTTGTTTAGAGGAAATGACTTCCACCCCACTGCCCTGTCTGAGCGGGTTGCACGTCAAATCCGGCCCTGCTTTTCTTGCATCTGTACAGTTTTGTTGGAACACTCGCCGTGGTGTTTTCTCTGTAATTGAAGTTGGAATGCTGAGTTGTAATTTTAGTTTTGGTTGAACATCTGTGCATGCTTCTGTCCCATTTGTGCTTCTCTTGCATGTTTTAGTGCTTAAAATAGTGTTTTTGTGGCTTCTGTAAATCCCTGTGCTCCACTCTCACTGGTGTTGGTGTTTGACTGTGGAGGTGAAGGGAGTTAATACAGCTGTTAGGATCTTTAAGTGTGGGATGAAGACCTACATGAGTCTTAGGGACTGCCCTGTTATTACAAGATCAAAACTACTTTGAACAGTAGAGCCACTGAAACAAAACAATTGGAGCCCCCTGAAGAAACCAAACCTCACTGGGAACGGTAAGAAAAAGTACATATTTGTTAAAAGCAAGATCTGTTTATTGAGATGTATGATAATATTAGATATCAGAAAAGTAGCCTCTAGGTATAAACCTGTCAAATCCAAAACAACAAGATTAGCTCAGCAGATTTTACACGGAGGACTCGTAAAAAACAAAAGCCAAGCTTCAGGGAATCCTCCTCAAAGATTTCCAGAACCCGGCTCACAACTGCTTGAAAATCTTTTTTGAATCTGTGCTTGTTGGAGTTTAAAGTTGGGAGTCCTTTGAGTTGGCTGGGCGTTTCATACACTCCCATTTCACAGCAGGCTGTAAGGGACTTTATACAAACATTAAAGTGACTGTGTAATTTGACGTAAAGGTCAGATGTAGAGCTATTTTTTGTTTTAGCAGTGTGTAAAGATGATCCAATCTGGAATGCTTGATAATTGGACATTGGCTGGTGGATTTTGTTACAATCGACACAGCCGGTCTAGCTGTGTTTATGCTAAGTTAGCCAGCTGCTGGATAAGAGTGGGAGCAATCTTCTCATCTAGTAGTATTTTTCCTAGTCCCCTTCACATCAAATAAAGTCGGTCTAAAGTAAGTTTTCTCTATTTCTTTCTTCATCCAGATATGTTGGCTATAGACTTAAAGTATGATTCCAAAGAAATGCTATTTGTATTATAGTTAAATACAGGGAGACTGAAAGTTGAGTTCTCAAAATAAAACAAACTCCCCTACTTTCACTCTGGCTTTTCAAATGGCTCTTGTACTCCTTTTGTGTCTGAAGATGGCTTTATGAGAGGAAGCTGCCTTCTGATGGTAGACTTGATAACCTCCTCTGCCCTTAAGGCCTTTGGAGTTGAAGTCGCCTTCAGTGGCATCTGCCGAGGGTTGTTTAAGTTAATTGAAATTCTTGCCAACCTGTATTTAAACTGATGCACCTACCCTAACTGAGACATTACAGAAGAACAAGCGGATATGTGTGCAAAACTCCTGTCTTATTGAACATCCCAATTCTTCACTGAAATGTCCCCTTGTTGTGACCTGGATAGGCTTCCATTCTTTTGTTTATACCATTTGGAGAACTGTTATAGGTGGCGGTCGCGCATGCTTCAACTTGTTGTGTGTGAGATTGTCTGTGGGACTGGGGAGGGATGTTGTCGTGACCATAAATAAGAGGAGGTACTTTTCTGTGGAGCTGGGATTAACCCTGGCTAAACCTTGAAGTGTGTTCCACAAAGATGTTTAGTTTCCTGGTATGTTAATCCCTTTTCTTTCTTTCCTGCCTCTCAGTCATTATGTGCTCTTTGTACCAGAGGCCATCAGTAGGGATGATTGAGATTTGCCATTAATTAATTTAATAATGAGTAATTTGTCATACTTCTGCCTACCCTTTTAGGGCTGCACGATTTTGGGAAATAATCTAATTGCGATTTTTCTGACAGATCTTGCGATTCGATTTGTAATATTTGTTTTTAAGCGACCAATTGAAGTTTATTGTAAAATGCGGTCATATCTCCGGCTAGGAAGGTCACATCAACGTGCTCCCGTCTCTAGCACCCCCGCAGCCCGAGCTACGAGTGAAAGAACTAAACTTACATGAAACTTCCGTTGGGTTGCTTTAAAGTCAAGCTTCAGTTAAAGATTCACCCTGTAATAGATGTGATGGAGCATTACTAACCTGACTCAGATGGTTTGTTTCACCAAGCCATCTAGGAAAGCTCCATTGGAAGCCATTTGGAAACACTTGGCAGGTGATTGGATCAATCTGTCTATCACCTTCTATCATGGGCCACTTCTGATTGGTTAACAATGGCTGGTACATGTGGAGCACAGCACTTCTGATTGGTGTGGATTAGGGGTGCAACAACTAATCGACTTAATCGATTACCAAATTAGTTGCAAACTAATTCAGTCGTCGATTCGTTGGTGACGTCATCACGTGTGTTTTACGCGCCGTTAAGCTCCAACGTTATTGGTCTTTTTATCGGTACTGGAGACATTTAAAAAATACATGTCATGTATTATTGCTACAAAAACATTATATCGCAGTCTTAGTGTCGCCAACTCGTTTCTAATATGCAAAAAGACAAACAAATGCGTCTATGATGTATCTTCGATCAGACGAGATCTCTCTCCCCCGTCTGTGTGCGAGGGGGCGGGGCAGTTTACTAGGGATGGGAATTTGAAAGCAAATGTATATTCGAATATTCGACCCCCCCAAAAAACGGTTAACCGGTTAACCGAAATGTACATACCCCGTTTTTTTTTTTATAGGATAACATTTCCAAAAAAAATTTTCACTAACTTTTGGAAATAAATAAATACATGTTCAAATAAGTATAGAAACCAAGTCGAATTTGTCACATTTATTG